CTGCTGAACTCTGCATCCCCCCCACCCTTACACCTGGTGTCATGGAGAAGAGTGAGGGACTCTAATCTGGACAGCCGGTTTGATGCCCCGCTCCTCCTCCTCCTCCAGGTGAAGCTGCCGGGTGACCTTGGTCCAGTCCCGGCTCTCCCAGAACTCTTTCAGCCCCACCTTCTGCACAAGGTACCTGTTGAGGGGAGGGGATGGTAAGATGCTTTGAGATGCCTTAAGGTAGAGAAGAGTGGGGTATAAAAACCTCCACGTGACCCCCCCTCCCTCCTATGGTGGTGGGAGCACAGGGGCTTCTGCCCTGACCCAGTGCGGGGCCAGAGGATGTGGGCCGGAGACAGGGGGGGGGGAAGGGAGGGAACTCAACCCAAGATATGTCTGTGATATATGAGGGTCAAGCTAACAAAGAAGAAGAGATTGGGTTTATGCCCCGCCTTTCACTACCCAAGGGAGTTTCAGAGCAGCTTACAAACTCCTTTCCCTTCCCCTCCCCACAACAGACACCCTGGGAGGTAAAAGCCCTTCACTACCCAAAGGGAGTCTCAGAGAGGCTTACAAACTCCTTTCCCTTCCCCTCCCCACCACAGACACCCTGGGCGGTAGAAGAAGAAGAAGAGATTGGATTTCTACCCCGCCCTTCACTACCCAAAGGTATCTCAGAGTGGCTTACAAACTCCTTTCCCTTCTCCTCCCTACAACAGACACGCTGTGAGGTAGGTGGGGCTGAGAGAACTCTGACACAAACTGCTCTTTTTCAAGAACAGCTCTTGTCAGAACTACGGCTTGCCCAAGGTCATCCAGCAGGTGCAAGTGGAGGAGTGGGGTAGTCAAACCCCATTCTCCCAGATCAGAGTCCACGCACTTAACCACGACACCAAACTGGCTAATAACAAAGTAAGTTGTTATAAAAATACAAATATTTATTATGGTGTACAGAATAGTAAAAGATCAAATAAGTTAAAAGAAATGATTCAAATATCCAGGGGTCATTTCGTAGAAAAAGAGGTGCAGGTGCTCATTAGCATAACTCATTAGCATAACTTATTTGCATATGCCACGCCCCCTGACATCACCAGAAGTGTGTCAGAAGGCAACACCCACTACTCAGGCTCCACTGGACTGTTTTAGATTGCTAGCTATTGGGGGGGGGGAATTTGCAGATCTGTCCTCGTAGAGGAGGGAGAGCTTGTACCTGAACAAAACTTGGTCTTAAAGGTGCCACTGGACTGTGTTGGGCTGGGGGGGGGCTCTACAACTTACTTGACTGCTTCTTGCTCTGACTGAGGGCTGCTGGGAGCAAGGGGTGGGGCTTGTTGCATGTGCCTGCCCCCTGGGCTCTTTACTGCTAGAGCTCCGCTCCTGTGCGCTCCTGCAGGAAATGACCCCTGCAAGTATCAGACTCTTAAAACTTTTTACACAGAGAGGTGACAGTTTTACATATAGAGTCCACAGGTGTATCTTATGACCAGTAGACCATATGTGTTTCGGCCCCTTGGGGCCTTCCTCAGTGGTCAAAATTACTATTGTAAAACAACACACATCTAGAAATGAATATATGGAGGGGAAATTCTTTAGAGCCAGGTGTTGCGTTCTCATGTAATGTGCAATTGTTAGAAGTATACACAGTAGGCCATGGATGATCTCTCAGGGTAACTGCACATGCTCTCCAAATTGTTCTGGTAATAAATATCCAGTGTGTCAGGAGGTGTGTTTGTCTTCCTTTGATGGAAGAGACACACATCCATTTTCTTTTTGGTTTTGATGCGTGTTTTACAGTACTAATCTTGACCACTGAGGAAGGCCCTAAGGGGCCAAAACGGACGTGGGCCGGAGACCAGTTCCCAGGCGGTGGCCCTGGCTGAAGATCTCCTCCTGAGTCAGGCAGAGGAGAAGAGGCAGGCAGAGCAGGTGAGGGGGTTTCCTACAGGTGTGTCCAATTCAAGCAACGATATCGGGCCTTATCCTAAAGGTTCCCTGCCAGGTAATATCCCAAGTTTTTATCATCCAAGTGGGAGATTTCATGGCCTCCTTCAGCAGTCTCTTCTATGTAGGAACAATGTCCGCTCTTGAGAGGCAGGCCCGGGAGCGTTAACATTGTTCCTGCAGGGAGATCACTGTTCTCCGGCTGGAGATTGGGAACCCAAAAGTATGTACGTACTGCCTAATCTGGGGACTGCCTAATGACGCAGTCAATTGGCCTTGGCAGAAGAGACGGGAAAGATAAGGGAGAGCGGCTGTTAGAAAACACATTCCAAAAGGATGCTTGAATGCTTGTAACTTTCCCTTACGTGAGGGAGAGAGGTGGGGGGGAAACTTGGAGCTTATATAGGGACTTGTTAGATATGTCCCACTCTGGATCTGGCAGCCCCGCTGCTGTCAGGGAGCATGAGGGTCTAGGGGAAACAGGGCACCATGCTGAGGATAAGGGGAATGTGCCCTCAGAAGGGACCTCTTCCCCAGCTGGTGAGCGGCTCTCCTTTTGCACCAAGGAACCATCCCTGAGCAGGGTGGGAGGGGGGCTCTTGGTAGTGGGTGATTCGATCCTTAGGCAGGTAGACAGCTGGGTGGCGAACCCGCGTACTGACCGTATGGTGACTTGCCTGCCTGGTGCGAAGGTAGCGGACATTACGCGTGTTTTAGATAGGCTGGTAGATAGTGCTGGGGAGGAGCCAGTGGTCGTGGTGCATGTC